ATATATATATATATATATATATATATATATTACAACCTTTTGACGCAAAATCCAAAGCCTCAATTTTTTTTACAAAACTGAAATCAATTTTTTTCAAAATAAATAAAAAAAAAAAAGTATAGAGTGAGACTATTTACCTTTTGTATAAGGTGGTCACAATTAATCTTGATCATTGGATGTGAAATTAGGTGGGTACATTTGTTCTATTGACCAAGCACAAAATTCAAAAGAATTTCTCTCGAACTCTAGGACACATCCAAACTATCAAATTTCACATCAGACAATTGTAAGTAAATTGTGACTACCTTGCATAAAAAATAAATGGTCTTGTTGTTTACAATCCCAAAAATAAATCCATATTTGATCCCTAATGCCCAAACGTTTTTTTTTGCATTATCTCTCATTTTCCCAATCAAAGCACGTTAAAATCGATCAAAATATTGTTATGGGAGTCATCTAAAAGATCCCTATAGTAATTTATTGAATTTTAAGTAAAATAGAAGAAGTTAAAATTTCAAATTTCGATAGTTTTTAATCCAAATTTGAAAATCTTCAATCCGAATTTGAATATGCCTCTCATTTTTTCAAAAACTTGCCCAAATTTGTCCCAAAATGTTCCTATTATACTGATAAAAGACCAACCTAACAATTTTCTTTGAATAAAAAACAAAAGATCTGCAATTTCAAGTTTATATTTTTTTTCCACAATTTTTTCCTCCATTTATTGTCAAAAATGTCTTTTCTATTGTAATTTTTTATTTTGATTTTGTTTTATGCATCTTATTAGAATCAAATAAAATTAATTTTCATTTTAACTATTTGTTCTTATGTTTTCTCGGTATTTTTTCATCTTTCTTTTCTTTTTTTTCTTTTTTTTTTTTCGAGCTGGTACTCTTTATAAGCTCGTATATTGGCTTGAGAATGACTACCTCATATCGGTCCGTACACCATGACACGAGTCATGGTGAAAGTATGGTCATAGATTTATTTCCATCGTATCACCTGTTGAATGGTGTGGTTTGCATGAGGTCGCAACCTTAAACAAATAAATTAAGGCACACCTTTAAATTTCATCATGAATGTAATTTTGGTGTAAAAGTTTTTTTGGATTGCTTGAGAATCCATTTTGATCTCTAATTGTAAAATTTTAAACTACAATAATGGTTCAAATCAAGTATATCTATAAACACATGAAAATCTTGAAAATGTCCAGATAATGTATTGTAAGAAATACTATTTTTGAGGCTCGAAATCTTTTTGTCTCTTCATATTCATACATCTCGACATTGAGATGATCAATTAGAGAGTTTTCTAATATCAAACCAACTTTTTTATGATAGATTTTTTAGGTACACTTTAATTGTACATTTTAAGATTGCAACATTATATAAACTTTTTCTAAATGATGCTGGTTAGAAGGCAGTCCATACAATTTGAACTATTAACATGCTCGGTAAGACCCATTTTCCAACCATCATCGTTGAAACTTCAAACTAATGATGTATTGTTGTGGCCCTATAGGGGCATGTGGAAAAGTAAAAAATGAGGCTATTAATATTTTAGTATACGGAAGTCACAATTAATCCTAATCACATAAATGTGAAATTGGGTGGTTGTATTTATTCCACTGACTAAGTTCAAAAAAAGAATTTGTTTTTAACTTTGTGATACACCCAAACTATCAAATTTCACGTGAAATGGTTACATGTAATTGTAATCTTCTAATACCAAAAGGTAAATAGACTCTCAAAGTATAACATCCGTTGCTATTTCCGTCCCCAAACACTACTTGACTTGGGTCATGTTATTATTTTCCTATACAATATCCATAGTTTAATTATAAAACCTTTTTTTTTTTTTAATGGTAGTATGAGACTTTGGTGGGGAATGGAGTCCGATACCTTTTTAAAGATTTTGATATGTTAAACTACCACATGGCCTTCTCATCGGCCATGATAGAATATGGAAACCCTAGAGAAAATACATAGTAGAAGAGAAAACCTCTATTGTATTCATTCATTCAACTAAACTCACGGTTCACACACACACACACACACACACACACACACATATATATATATACAATGGACAAAAATACCCTTGAGGGTAAATAATAAAAGAATGCCCTATACAATATCACAATAGACAATCTGTCTCTTAACACCCCCCCCTCAAGCCGAGTATGCATCTTCTATATTGAGAGCTTGTCTGTGGACTCATGGTCTCTTGGTCTTGTTAGAGCTTTAATAAATATGTCTGTTAGCTGGTGCGACAAAGGACCAAAGGTCATGAAAATAGCACCAGATACAACATTTTCTCAATTCTATATGTTTAGTGCGATCATGGAAGATAGGATTTGTGGCTAGTCGCATAGCACTTTGATTATCACATGTTAGAATGGTTAGCATAATTGTAGAAACACTTCTTTCTTTAAGACGATATAAAATAAGACTCTTTCCCAAGAAGATATAAAATCTTGTAATCGACCAACGATCATTAGGGCGCCTTACCCAATCAGCATCAGAGTATGCTTTGAGATCAGGTGAACTAGAAGAAGTGTAGAATAAGCCATCATGTATAGAACCCTTTAAATATCTCAAAATCCTTTTTATGGCTTCCCAATGAGGTTGTCAGAGTGCCTACATGAACTGACATACAATATTCATTGCATAAGTAATATCAGAGCGAGTGAATATGAGATATTGAAGGCTACCAACGACACTTCTATAGAAAGAAGGATTCGATAACAACATCCCCTTCTTCAGTCCTTAACTTCTTATTTACTTCAGCTGGAGTGAAAATAAGTTTGCATCCCAACATCCTTGTTTTAGAAAGTAAATCAAGAATATACTTATGTTGGGTGAGAACACTGCCTTTTTCGATTCGATGAATTTCAATACCCAAGAAATATTTCAGTTCTCCAAGGTCTTTCATCTCAAAGGTCAATTTCAATGTTATCTCAAGATGTTAAATTCCTTTGAGATCATTTCCAGTAACAATGAGGCCATCCACATAAATTAGAAGGAAGATAATACCCAAGGATGATCTTTTAAGAAATAAGGAGTAGTTAGCCTTGCTTCTTTGAAAACCAAACGATAGAGTTAACAGTTGAATTACCATGCTCGAGGAGGTTGCTAGAGTCCATAAATTGCCCTTTTTAATTTGCAAACATAATGTGGTCTCGAGGGATCTTCAAATCGTTTGGGTTGTTGCATATACATTTCTTCTTTCTAATCACCATGAATGAATGCATTTTTCACATCAAGTTGATGGACTTTTCAATTAAACAAAGATGATAGAGCCAGGATGCACCGAATAGTAGGTGCCTTCACAACTGGACTGAAGGTTTTATCATAGTTACTAAACCCTTTGGCAACAAGTCTGAACTTCAACATTTCAACTGAGCCATTCGATATGACTTTAACTTTATATACCCATTTTGAGCCCATAATATTTTTGCCTGAAGGCAATGGAACTAATTCCCAAGTATGATTCCTTTTAAGTGCATTGATCCCTTCTTTCATTGAGACAAGCAACCTAGTGTTAGAGGTAGCTTCATCATAGGTGGTGGGATCTTGAATTTGAGAAAGTTCTGTTACAAATGCTTGATGATTGGAAGACAGACTATTTGA